AGCTGGGATAGGCCAATGGCCATAACTAGCCGCTTTCTCGTTATTTTACTTAACCGAGAGTGATGAGATCTTACCAGCCCAATTAGCATCTAAGTCTTGTCAGACTATCTTATCTCAGACTTGGTCAAGATTGTTTGGACAGATGAAAATACAGAGCTAAAAAATACTGGTAATGACATATTTTATGACACAAATTGGTCATTTCTTCAAGGAAGAGGAAGGATTCTTTCTCTCTTGCCATTTCCCTAGCAACAGAGAAAATGAGGGGTTCTTTTTCATTTATAGAAGAGCCTTGATTTCAGGATTGCCGGAAAACAGAAGCATCTGCTTGTAACCAAGGCATCTTCTGAATAGCACAGGACTTTCAGTTAAAACCCTAAGAGCTTTTTAGACCCTATATCTTACTATGGCAATTATTTCAGCTAAAAGGAAATTACAAAGCCTGAGGTATGGGAAGGCTTTCATCACACCATGTAGTGCTTGTATTGTAATTCCTCCCTAGGAGAGAACCTGCTTGACAAATACTATAAATAGGAGCCTACAGAAGAGGATAAATAATTATTTGTCTGCTGATAAATTCTGACAGATCATCTTTCCTGTGCAACTTGAGTGAAAGACATAATCGGAAAGTCCTTAGGCAAATAGCACTCTAAATCCAAACTACCTTGAAAAATATTGAAAGCTTTAAAATATTAATTTACATTTTTCTCTTTGTCAGTGAGGTAGTATCACTGAACTCTAAGCGTCATATTGACATAGGACTGTGGAGATTTGGGTTTGGGGTATTTTTTTTTTTTTGCTTTTTCACCCTGTTAATGTTTCATAGAATTATTTTCATTCACACTAAATTCAGCCTAGCTCTCAAGCACTGCTTTTTGTCAGAGAGGCTGGCCACTCTCTCAGCTGAGAGAAAGGGTTAAAATGAATCATAATCAATTCATTAAATCAATATACAAAACCCAAAATTTCTTACTAACTGCTACACTTGTTCTTTAGTCAGAGTCATTGTGCCGGTTTCAAATGGACAAGCAGGTAATACTGGAGAAAAAAGCATAAAAATTCTCCAACTATAATCTCATTATGTAATGATTACTGCAGTCTCCAAACCAAGAATTTTGGCTAGTCTCATTTCTTATAGACACTGAAGAAATTTTTAGGCAAGGCCCTCGGATGACTGTACAAGTATATGTCATTAAATAGAACCTAGAAATGGAAACAGATACACTCTCCACAGCTTCTTTACTGCTCTCCTGCCAATCTGCAGGGAGAGAAGGTGACTAGTGCTGAAGATGAATGAGAGAAGTATTTCTCCTTTTCCGCCAGACCAATTATTTTTAGAATCACTGTGCTGCTGACAGTTTGGGGCCTGCTATGATAGCAGATCTGAAAAATCAGAATAACACAACTCTAGTGTACAAAAGGATAATGATTTTTAAGAGATTTAAAAATGCATGAATGCATAAAAATCTGTCTTCCA